GAGGCGCCCCTCAGCCACGGGACGCTGCAGTCCTTCAAGAACGACTCGAGCATCCTTTTGCGCAGCACGTGTCCCCGTAACGACAGGGGTCCCGTGAGCGCCATCATCCTCTGGCCACATCCCCAGCCAGGGGCGGCTTCTGCTGGCTCCTACTTCTTCCCTGCATTGAATCCTCTGAAAAAGTGATGGTGAGGGGGAGGCATCGGCTCACGGAGAACGGCTGCCTGCCCTCAAGCAGCGATCTAACCCCCGGGCCCTGGAGCCCACTGCACGCGGGGGGCTGCTCTGTCACACCAGCTTCGGTGGGCACAAAGGCACGACACGTTCTGCCACGGCCCCACGTGCAAAGGAGAGAAATGGGGGCAAATCTGGTCCCAGACATCCCCTGAAGGGCTCGAACCCGTGTGACCACGTCCTCCCTGTTGAGCTGATGCCGAGCTCTCTTGGAAGAGGAGCCGAGTTCTCCCTCTTAAGTAACCCGGCAGCACCCTCTGCTGCCAGCGGGAGGAAAGGAGCTTTTAAGGATACTGAAAAGACGGGAGCACAATGAAACAGGTGAGACTGTTTTCTGTCTGGTGCCGTCTCTTAGCTACTGTCTCCTAATGCGATGCGGGCCAAGCGGCAGCGGGTCTTTCTAGGGCTCATGCGTCTGCGTGCGGGTCAGAACCGCTCGAGACACGGACGCTCAACTCGAGCAAATCAAAGCCGTTCCCAGCACGTTGCACTCGTGCAGCAGGGACCGGCTGTGCCGCAGACCGGCCCTGCTGGTGGACAGCGCACCGGCGCCTGGACGGGGATGGGCAGAGCGAGGAGCACGAGCCGCTGCAATCTGGACTGAGGGCCTGGAGCACTGCTGGGTTTTTACCTCTTTATCAGGCCCTGAGGAGACCCTGCAGCACGTGCCAACAGCCGTGCAAGTCCCAGACAGACCCCATCCAGGCACCAGCTGCCATCTCACGCACCGGGAACTCGGAAAGGAAAGAAGCACGTTTCCGATCAGTGCAGAAACGCAGGTGTCGGCAGCGCTGCCTTCTTGGACCAAGGCTCAGGGCCACAGAAAGTGATTGTACAGCGAGGTGCAGTCTCATAGAGCGAGCAAAGCAGCTCCGCCAGGCAAGGGGATTTTCTGGAGCCTTCCAGGTCAGGTTTCCTTCCCATGGTCTTCCTCTCTGCTCTAGAGCTTTTAATGCATTTAACATCCTGTAGGCCGCACGGGGTCATGGCGTAGTCAGGCCATGCTTCAGGACTTCTATGGTCACCTCCAGGGCTCAGGAAGGAGGATTCGACTGCATTACTTGACTTCTAAGGGTTTGGGGGTTTTCTTCTTAACCTTTATTCATAGATGTTAGATTCATAGATGTTAGGGTCGGAAGGGACCTCAATAGATCATCGAGTCCGACTCCCTTTGCTTCTTCCTGAAGCATGGAAGTAAGATGGGTGCTCCAACTGGCACTGAAAACTTCTCTGATATTGGGTGGGAGGATCCTGTTGACAACTCAGGGTTAAAACATTTGTGAGAGCTAGTTATCCAGGCTGTAGGCATATTGGTCTAGAGGCAAAAGGAGTCAGGACTCGTGGTAGAGGCGATATCTTTTATTAGACCAACTCAATGTTTGCAAATAAAGAATTTTTTTTGCAAACATCGAGTTGATCTAATAAAAGATATCACCTGTACCACGAGTTCTGCTTCCTTGCGAGAGCGAGGGATTTCACCCCACGGCAGAGTGGCAAGGGTTGCGTGTGGGGTGGAGGAAGAGGCTCTCTCTGCGTACGGGACATGGTCCCCTTCTTAGGATCACCGGAGCGCGTCTTCCCTGACAGCGGAGGGGCCCAGCGCCGCAGCGGTGTCCAGGTGTTTCTTGTTCTCCAGTCTCTGCGGGGGTCGGACTTCATGATCTGTCTTCCAACCCTACAAACCATGAAACCTAGAAACTGAAACTGAGGTCTTTGTACCAAAGCTCCTAAACTTGTGGTGGAGCAGTGGGGGTGAGCGATGGCTCGGGTGTGCAGACAAGGGCATGGCAACAGGCTCAGGAAGCAAAGTGCAGCGTAGTGCAGCAGTCTGGTGTCTGATCAGGCCATGACATCCTCTTCCATCGCCCTTGGTAAAATGTCAAACAAGTACATTTGCACTTCCTCCCCTTCCGCCATTCAGACTCGCAAGAGATTTCACATCAACACGCAGAAAAAGACACTGCCCTGTTTTCCTCCGAGTGCCTCCCTGGAAAGCTGCTTTGCCCAGACCGCTACACAAAACCTTGGCAGCAGCTGGGTGTCTGGTACACGAAGACTGTCCGGCATCTCGCTGACCAGCGTTTTCTCCCTAGGGCCCCTTCTGGTTACACGGGGCTCTGCTCCACAGCTGACATCCCCGAGTGCCGGAGTTAAAGGTAATGAGAAGGGAAAGCAAACAGGTGACTAGGGGGGAAAAAAAATGAAGCGTTATAGCTGTGCTGTTCAGTCTCTTATAATAATGGTCAGAAGCTAATGAAGAAATGGAGAGTAGATGGATATTGTCTGGGCACAGCAGCCATGGATCTGTTCATAGCAGCCAGGCTCGGGGACATTCAAGTAACAGTGCTCAGAAACTAGCTGTACTCCAAACCCTGGCAAGGCGAGATCACATAGGGGGCCCGATCCTTAAGGGTGCTGAGTACAACTCCCACTGGTTTTTCTGGAAACAAGGATCTCTTGGGATCAGGACTGCATGCCCCTGGTGCTGAGGAAGAAGAAATAAAGAAATAGGGTGCAGTGAACTAAAAACCATGGGGTTTAGTCCTGGACAGGGCAGAGCAGGCACCAAGTACAGCGCAGGTCCTGGGCCTGGCACGTGGAACCAGTCTGGTGCACAGCCTGCAGCATGCGGATCAACGCCAGACCCAAGGGCGGCACTGGGACCTGGGTGCTGGGCTTCAGTGGCCATATTTGAGCAGTCCCTCGGGGAGGGGGCAAGGGGGCAGTCAGTGCCCAATGAGAACAGCAGGTAGTGCTTGGGCATATTTTGCTTGGTTTGAAGCATCTCATGTCCTGGGTGCCTTGTTTTAATTACCCTGCTGATCTGGAACGCAATGCCAGTGCACGACAGCCCTAGCAGCACAGGAGCAGAGTGGAATTTGAAAAGAAGAAAATTATTCCATGACATTCACTAGACGTGCTCTTTTATCCTTGTAAGCAATTCCAGGAAAGTCAGGTGGCAGCCGGTTTGGCCACTCGTCTCCAGGTGCTGGTTACCAAATTCCTGTTGTGCTGGAAAGCTCATGAGGCAAGCTAAGCAAAAGCAAGTTTGGGAGACTGAAAATGGAGGCAGATGCAGATAGATGAGAAGCAAAGTAACTTGATCAGCAGCTGACTTTCTCCTTGACTGACTTCTTGCATCGTCTATAGAGAAATGCCTAATGCAGTAAACAATTACATGCTTTATACATATATGCACACACACACACATATAAAGCATGTAATTCTTTACTGTATTAGGCATATATATATACATGAGAGAGAGAGAAAACGGCTATGTCTACATAAGACTTCGCACATGACACTAAGATGTGGGGTGAAGTGGGCATGCTAGAAGGGAGGGACAGGCTGCAATTGGATCTGGACAGGCTACAGGGGTGGGCAGATGAGAACAGGATGGGTTTCAACACTGACAAGTGCAAGGTGCTGCACCTGGGGAGGAAGAACCAGCAGCAGACCTACAGGCTGGGGAACTCCCTTCTTGTCAACACAGAGGCAGAAAAGGATCTTGGAGTCATTATTGATGCCAAAATGAACATGGGCTGCCAATGAGGGGATGCGGTCAGGAAGGCCAACCATACCTTGTCATGCACCCACACTATGCATCACGAGCAGGTCCAAGGAGGTGACCCTCCCCCTGTATGCGACACTGGTCAGGCTGCAGTTAAAGTACTGCATCCAGTTCTGGAGGGATGTGGATAGCATTGAGGGGGGCCAGAAGAGGGCCACTAGCATGATCAGGGGGCAGCAGGGCAGGCCCTACGAGGAGAGGCTACAGGACCTGAACCTGTTCAGCCTCCACAAGAGAAGGCTGAGAGGGGATCTGGTGGCCATCTACAAACTGGCCAAGGGGGACCAGCAGGCAATGGGAGAGTCCCTGTTCCCCCGAGCACTCCTGGGAGTAACAAGGAACAACGGCCATAAGTTGATGGAGAGTAGATTCAGACTAGACATCAGAAGGCACTACTTCACAGTCAGTGCAGCTAAGAGCTGGAACCAACTTCCAAGAGAAGTGGTGCTGGCTCCTACCCTGGGGGTCTTCAAAAGGAGGCTGGATGAACACCTGGTCGGGGTCGTTTGACCCCAGGGCTCTTTCCTGCCATGGCAGGGGGTCGGACTTGATGACCTGCTCAGGTCCCTTCCGACCCGACCAGCTATGAAACTAAGATGCTGACTGCACAGTAGCTCGTTACTACTGCGCAGTAGCTTGTTACTAGCGTGATAGCGTCCTGTGGCACAAAGCGTGATGCGATGCTACTGCGCAGTAGTAACGAGCTACCGTGCAGTCAGCATCAAGCAGCCGTGCAGGGACACTACTGCGCAGTACTGCCCAGTCACTTTGTACTTGTAAGTACTAAATGGCTGCACGGTCACAACTGCGCAGTCAGTCTCGTGTAGATGTGGCCTGTGACTCTCGTTCTAGTCTCTCTCAGCTTTCTCAGGATTTGCAACGTGTTGATGGAGAATCCCCAGCCGGCCTACAGCAGCCTCTAGCATGCGAGTCGCTTGGTCAGGCGCAGGGTGGGGAAAGCAGCAGCAGCCCCACGCTCCAGAAGGTGTTAGCAGACAGGAAACTTCTTGGGAATCAGCGCTACCCAGAGATCATACATTATGCATAGCCTGGTGCAGAAATGGTCCCGGTTTCAAGAAGCCGCAGCTTGATCTTTTGCTCAGGAAATGCTGGTCACTGATGAGAAGCTAGACCTTCTATTTCTTTAAAAAAAAGACATTACAGTCAGGAGCTAAAATTCCAAAATAGTGTTTAATATTCTTATTTTTCCAGAAAAGGCACAGTTTCAGCTATTATAAAGTGACAATCCCTTTTTTCAGGCGAATAAAAAAAAAAAAAAGACTTAAAATAGTTACATAGGCTCTATCATCCGGAGTCCTGTATACAGTACTTCCATCAAGCCTACAGTGCTATAATTTTATATTTGTTACAAAAATAGCAGCTGATTTTCTTCATCTATTTACAGTATTTCATAGTATTGCATATTTCTACAGAGATGTATACAACCACTCTGCATACAAATATGGTTTCTCAACTCAGATCTGCCTATTTCTGACATCTATCAACATTAGTATCTTCTATTCATAATGTTTAACCTCAGGATTACCATAACTTCTTGAAAGGAAATGATTAGGAAACTTCGTTCCTGGGGAACTCCAGACAAGGAAACAACGGCATTTACTGTCTGACAATACAACGGCATTTACTTTCAGTAACAATTTTGTATCATCTGTTAAGTAGTCTTGTGACCGATTCAAGAATCAAATGTGAACTCCTTGTTAGACATGTTCTGCAATGAGCAACCGCAGCCCGTCTCACTAAGGGGGTGGTGTGGGATCGTGTGGAGCAAGTCACTTTTTTGCATAGTAACAAAAGCACTGCTCCTAACAGCAGGCACGTGTGATACTGACATTTAAATATACTAAATTAAATATTTCAAATAAGGAACTGAAGTGGCAGTTTCATCCTAAGCATGCCAAAGAGCTCTCAAGTATTCCTAAAATTGCCTTCCTCCAAGAAGTGCAAAAGTAAACAGGTACTTGAAAATATCCAAATATCTTGCCACTCCTAAGTGCTAGTACAGAAATCTATGTCTACATGTGCACGTTCAATAATACAGCACCATCGATAAGCAGATGGCAGGAATGGCTAGTTACAGTCACTACATTAAATTTACGTTTCTTTTTCAAATAAATAGGTCCCACTGTTACAAGCTGTCCAGTAGACAAAATATCATTAAGAGCAGTGTTTTTTTGTACAATTTTATCTCCCTATTGAGAACAACCTGAAATGGAATTACTGGACCTATTATTTCCTGGCTGAAGTCAGTTTACATAAGCAAAGAATTTGGCCCAAAATGTTAATGTTAAATAATATATATAGAATGCAAAATGCATACTGACGTCTAAAAGCCAGTAACTTCTCTTCTGTTTTCCACTTTTTATTCTGTCGGCAGGTCAAGGCTGACCTAGGCAAGCTGCAAACAGAAATTCACTTGGGGTTCGGTTTACCATAGTGGTGTAGTAACCGCTCAAATAACTAAACTACAATAGAAATAACACTGATGGACGGTTAAGAACCAAGGAGTGAAGCTGGAGTAAACAAAACCCAAACTATCAAAGTTTTCCAAAAGGGGAATTTATAAAACTGTACATGTGGGAAGTGAAACTATTCAACTTTCCAAATAGCGATCTTCCCTTCTTCCTTCCCAGAGCCGCTGAGGATGTATCTGTTCTCAGCAGAGCACAGGGCCTTCACCGTGTCCGCATGGCCCACCAACTCCTTCTCCACCTTTTTCCTTTCAACGTCTACCACGTAGATCTTTCCTTTGATTTTGCCCTGGGATAGTCCTCTGCTGCCAATCCAGAGCTGAAAAGAAACAACAGCTTTTGAAGCACTGTATTCCTGGTTGGTTTAAGGATACGGCTGAAACAGAGGAGTTGTTTTGTCACCCCCAGGAGATGGTCATTGGCTTCTCTACCCAAGTTTGAAAAGAGATTTCCCATAAAGCGGCTCACTGAAGTTAGTTCTTTGTACTTTTTTTCTGTACATCCACTATAACATTTTAACTAAGGTTTGCTAGTTAGAAAGAAGACCATTTTGTCTGCTTTACATATGCAACTGTCTTGGGGTTTTGTTCCAGAAAGACAACATACAATGGCTAGATTTTTTTTTTAATTAAGGCATTTAGAAGTAAGTTTACAGCAGACAATACTGCCATTTTTAGCACCTGGCAGGCCACTTTGGCACAGCCTGGCTTCCCAATAGCTGCTATTTCACTACCTAGAGCAGAGCTATGGGGTTTACTACCCCCATCCCGCTTCAGGTGAGAGGGGGGACAGGACCTGTTAGCCTGCTGATTGTTGGCAGGATTAAAGAGGACTGAATGCCCAAGCTGAGGAAGGGGGAGGGTCAGGACATTTGCCAATTTTATTTCTGTACAAGTGAACTGGACAATGATGCTGTTTAAGGCATTAGTGGGCTCTGAATCGATGGAGGGGAAGAGGGGTGAAGCTGTGGAAGATGTAAAAGAGATAATGCTCTGGGTTTCCAAGGAATTTGCTGGTCACTCAGTTTGGGGGCTGTCTGGATGGCTTCTTTCTCTGGTTTCCCACATCAGATCCTGGCGCCCATAGCAGAGGGGCTTCCCAACTCCAAAGCAGCACACATTTTGCGGAAGGAGAGATAAGAGGTTCCAACTGGGATTATTTTAGGAAAAGTAATTCCTGATTTTCTACCCATGGAATATTTGTGTCATTAATTATGGAAACAGATGGCAACGAGGGGAGCTTTTTAGTCCCTTTTAGCCATCTTTTGTTGGGCCTGTAGCGTGTTGAAAAAGGCCAGCTAATCAGCCTTTACTTCTGTACATTAGCCCATGGGTGTCAGTCCCTCTTGAGTCAGGGGGGCATGTGCCCCCCCCCACACACACCAGTCAGCAACCGGGGCTGAGGTTCCCCCGCAGCTGATCCTGCTGGCCACGGCTGGGGAGTCCCCCTGCGACTGATCCCGCTGGCCACGGGGACGGCAGTCTCGCTCCTGCGGCCACTTCCAGAAGCGGCACGACTGCTTTTCCCGGCAGCCCTGCTCCCTGGCCAGTGCTCACAGGGGGGGCATTTGTGCTCCTGCCTGCCAGCCAGCTACACAGGGAACGCAGCCTGACAGGGGGTGCACCGGCGCTCTCCAGGGGTGCACATGCACCCCCTACGCGCTGCCCCTGCATTAGCCTTTTCTTGGTCTTGATCACCAGACCATGAGGGATTAAATATCAAGGGACCCAATTCTTTGTTGCATACTGTTCACTGGTAAGTGGCTAATAAAGCCATTGCACAGACAGTCATGAATAACAATTCTGGCTTTGCTTACAATTTTTTAAATATCCAGTGAGTGGTCAATTATACATGGCTGCCATTAGCTTAGCTGACTCCAAAGTGCTACCTATGTCTCAGAGATCAATTTGAATACAACTCAGTAACAGAAAAATCAGGCAACAAGACGTGAAAGAGACATAAATTAGTAGTATGTTGCATTTCAACAAAAAGAAACATGCAACAATGAAGGTTTAATGAATATCTCACCTGATTTTTCACTTTTATCATGCAGGTGACCTCAGAGCAATCCAGAAGATTAATCTTTTGAGGTTTGCTTGAGAGATTTGTTATATTCCAAACACACAGGTCACTGCTCCCAAAACACGATGTCCAGACCTCATCTCTCTAAAGCACAAAGAACACAGCCAGCCTTAGCAGTGCTCTTACAAATATATCTCAAGAAATACAGCACTGTTTCAAGGAAGTCAGCTTTATAAATGGAATTAGCAACCTAAATTTAATACCTCGAGAAACAGCTGGAAGCAGAGGAAAGGTGAACACATATCCTTCAGGTTCTGTTCAATTTTCATTTCCTGTTGAAACCCATTTGTTGACACAGCCAGTATGCAGCTCCTCGCACCTTCAGTATTAAAGAGATGATGTTTAGTAGTTGAAGTGGAAAGGAAGGCATGGGTAAGTGTATACATACCAAGAATGTGGGGCACCAGTCATAGCAGTGAGACCTATAAACTATTAGGGCTGTGCAAAGCTTGGGTACCTGATTTGATTCAGAGGAGATTTGGCCTGATTCAATGGCCGAATCTCTGAATTGAATCAGAAGACCCTTTAATTTCTCCGAATAGAATCGGAAGCCTCCAAATTGATTCAGAGATCAGACGATTTGGTCATAGACACAGCTTTATATGTTTTTTCTATGTACCTTGAGGTACGGGTGCATCTCGTGAATGCCAAGATGGTGGGGCGGATAGAGCGTCCCACAGGAGCATGGGGGGCCCTCCACCATGCTCGGCGGCGGACCCAGAAGTACTTCCGGTCCACTTCCAGATCTGCTGTGGAGCATGCGGGGGACCCCCTCATTCCCCTCAACTCAGTGACTGGTGCCTCCTGGGTCTGGGGAGGCACCCAGGGTCCCCCCACGGGCAAGCACTAAGCCGGGGGGGGTCCCCCACATGCTCGGCAGTGGATCCAGAAGTGGACCAGAAGTATTTCCGGTATACTTCCACGTCCACCGCTGAGCGCTTCGGCACCCCGCCCCACCCCACGATCTCGTGGGGCGCTCCATCTGCCCCGCCATCTCAGAGTTCACAAGCCGTACCCGGTACCTTGAGATATGTGGGTAAAAAACATTTCAAGCTGTGTCTATGGCCAAATCGCTGATTCTCCAAATCGGAATGAAATCTTCAGATTCAGATTTGGCCAAATCGAATCGGGACAGTGATCCAAATCAGTGAATTGAATCACTGTCCCCCAAATCAGGCTGAATCTGAATCAAATACTGTCCGCTTCACACACCCCTATAAACAATGTTCTTTGCTCTTACTTGATTTCTTACAATAGGGCCACACAGCTGGGAGCCCAGGGCTACATCCAGCCTGTAAAGGGTTAACTCTCAGCCCCTGGGCTCTAGTCTGGGCAGCACTCCCCTCATCAAATCTCCTGCAGCTGCCAGATGTCTCTGGGCTCCTTCTCCCTCCACCAGCTTCTGCTGCACACCCCTACCCCTAGGGGTGGTGCAGGTGGCATGGCACAGCATGGCCCGGGGAGCCCCCAGTGCAGGGGCACCCATATGGTGCAGCGCAGCATAGGGAGAGACATGGCAGAGGGAAGCCTGAGCCACGTGATGCACAGCCCACGCAGCGTGTCAGGCCCAGACACTCAAAGTTAGACAGTGTGGAGGGAAAGGGGAGGAGAGGTTAGGCGGATATTTGTAGATCTCTTCTGTTCTCAGGAGTGCACAAGTATTTACACCCATAGATCTAGGGCAGACACTCAATGAAGTCTTGGAAAAGTAGGGCTAGAAGGATTCTCAGGTCATCTCATCCAACTCCCCGCTCAAGGTAGGATCACCCCTGACTAAACCATCCTAGACAAGTGTTTCTCTAACTTATCATTAAAAACTTTTGTGAACAACCCTCTCATAAATACCAGGCTCAATGCCCCAAATACCAAAGACACCCTACTGTGCCACCGGTAAAGGAAGTGGACAAGGGCACTGCCAGCGTCCCGGCTCTGCAAGGACAGAAAGTTTGTTAACATACACTCAGGAGATCCAGGGAAGTGCAGCTGTATCCATCACTGTAGTCATGCCACACCCAAATACTTAATTAGAAAAAAGATCCAGTTGAGGCATGAAGAACTTACAGCACCACAGCCAGTCATTATGGAGTTTGATAGAAGTGAGGTTTTGGCAGGGCAGCTGAAATATATCGTTTACTTTCAAAGTGCTGATGTTCCAAGCAATCACCGTCCCATCTAAACTGCATGAATACGCTTGGCTGTTAACAAAAAAAAATAAAATAAAATACAGATTGAAATCAAATGCTGGACATTCAAATCCAAAACTGAGGCTTTAAGCCGCATTCTGAGAGAAACCCCATTTGCTGGAAAGATGCCGCATCTTGTGTTCGAGTCCAACTGATGGCACTACCTTGGTTTCAGGGTTTAATCATCTTCACTGCAATGGAAGCGAGTAATGCTGAGGCTAGATTTATAAATCGAGTGAGTGAGTAGTGCCAAGGCTGGAAGTGTGCTGCACAGTGGCCCCTTTAATCTTGCTCTTTTTGCCATGTGCTCTCTCCCCCCTCCACCATCACTGCTGACTGGCAGGCAGGCCCCCACAGCCCCGCCTCTCACTCCTGATTGGCCTAGAGGCAAAAACTACAGTTAAATATGCTGCAGTTTTTGGTCTCCTGCACTGATTGGCCAAGGGCCCCTGGCAGCCCAGCAGCTCGCTGCTGATCTGCCAGGAGGCAAAAACTGGCATATTTTAAACCATGGTTTTCGCCTCCTGGCCAATCAGGAGCAAGCAATGGGGCCACCGGAGTGCCTTGGCCAATCAGCAGCAGAGGGCAAGGCACAGTGAAAAGGACGAGATTAAAGGAGCTGCTGTGCGGTGCACTTCCGGTGCGATTTAGGGAGGGCAAATCCTCCACTAAGAACACACTATGGTCTGGTGGTCAGGGCGTTTTGTTGGGGAGGAGGGCATGCGGGTCTGAATCACCATTCCCCCTTCCAGGAATGTTTTAACAGAAAATTAAATAAAAAGAAAAAAAGAGCGTACCCTGCTCAGCCTTTTGAAAGACAGGCTATAGGTGCCAAGCACTGAAAACATTAGGCCTTGCTGCCCCTAACTCAATTCCCTAACTGAATCTTGTGATATTATCCATAAGTGTTTCAAAATTGGGTCACAGGATTGTAAAGTCTCAAATTTTGAAATCTAGTTTATTAGGCTACTACAGCGACCTGAGACGCCTTTATGCATTATGAACTAAATGTGCAATAATTATACCAAACGAGAAAACTGAATGAGAACCGTTCTCCTCTAACTCTGCTGTATATTACTGGCTTTGAAACTCTCTACTCTCCCAAGAAATGATCAAAATCATTTTTCCATTGTGACTGCATGTAGGAAAATATACTCCATCATCCTATTTACTTTAACGTACATGAACCAGACAAGAACATCTTTCTTCAGGGTGGGGTAGTAGCTACTGAACAAAACAATGCACTTTTTGCTTCTCTGTAATGAAAATTAAACCAAGAACTGTGCTGTAAAAGGCTACTTGATTATGCACATGAAGCAAAAATGGAATGCAACTGTGTCGACTCATAACTGGATGCCTTCAAATCCCCATTGCTCTCATCTCTGTCCAACAACCGTCTTGCATATTCTGTTTCAAAATGTGTAAGATTTACTTTAAAAGGGAATTCTCTGTTTTACTAGATATAATACAGATGCTTCCCTATGGGCCTTAATAAAGGCTTGCTTTACTGGTAGGCAGCCTCTCTGTTTCAAGTGATGAACTCTGTCCAAAACTTTTGAAAATTAGTAATTTGTTTCCTTTGTGGATTCTTTTCTCCTTTATCACATGCTAACACTTCGCCCTTGTTTTTCAGTTTGAGATTTCAATCATCATACTGCGTTGCTTGGCTCTTTAACTGGTCTTGTGTCACTGCAGTCTGGCCTAGATTCTCAATTCTCTGAGCCTGCTTTGTACCTGTCTAGCTGCATGGAAATATCTTCCATTTTGTTTAAGCAGCCAGAAGAGGAGTCCTGTTGTGTAGGTGAATTTCCCCAGGGTTTAAGAAAACCACAGAAATTCCATGTCAAAGCTGGTTCCCGGTGCAAGGCACATAACCGCAGCCCTCCCAAGTCTCAGATGATCCCTAGTGCTCACAATGGGCCTTGTACATCATTGGCAGCAAATAAAAGATAAAGCAGTTTCCAAGAAAGCAGGGCTATTTTAGAAATGAGGTCATGTTCACATCAGATAAATTTACATATAAGGTATGCTAATTAAACTAATTAAAGAAAATAGAGTTGGGTGTTTCAAAGGCCTCCTTTCATATACCTGCACACATTTCTCTTGGAGTTAAATTTAATCAAGGAGCTAATTAATCATTACAGAAAAATTAGTGTCATGGAAATATCCAAAGGCAAAGTTACTTTGTGATATGCATGGATATTCTCCCAAATTAGGTTTACTATTGGGGTATTTAGTCTCTGATTACAGCTAGTGCAAAGCTGTGCTGAATTCAATTGTTCTCCTGCCTGTATATGTTATAGTATTTAACATAAATGTAATTTTGAGGCATCTTTAAATTTCAGCTAAGGGCATGTTAGTAAGGCAGTGATTGCCTTGAACTGCCTACAGCCGTTCACACTTAGAGTCAGTGGCAGAGAATTACATTTGTCTTGGTTTGCTTTGTGGTCCTCTACATGGACCGTGCTACAGGAAGCCTGGGTCTGGACAGACAACGATATACGTACACTTTAAAAGAAGCCTAACACCTAGCTGATCAAACTGTTAGGAGACAACATACCAGATTAACCTTCTATCTAAAATGGATGCAAGAATGTAGTCTAGTAAATATGCACTTTTGGGGAGGTCAGGAAGCTACCAGCATAGTGCGAGCCCCCTAGAAATGAAGGGGGCAACTTATGTTAATAACCAGATTGGCAAAGGCACTTATGCCTGCTAGAGAGCATAGCTTCTGTCTTCAGTCTTCCCTGCTACAAGGGGGTGCATCTACATGTGCGCTTGGACCATGGAGTTGACTAATTAGCTGCACAGTAAAGTATCACCGTCTACATGTGCACCCATGTGTCTGGGACAAGTACTATTCTACAGTGGTGTAATTTATGCTACTGCAACACACTTGTAGATGGTGACTGGCTGGATGGGGCGCGAGGGTGCTACAGTGCAGAGGCTGCCTGATGCCTAGCCTCGTACTGTAGCATCCTCATGCCCCGACCAGCCCCAACGCCACCCGGAGCTTGGGGCTAACCCCAAGCCCCCTGCCAACCCGGAGCTGCTCTGCCCCAGTTCAGTGTGCTGCAATCACAGACACGTGCAAATAATGCGCCCGAGAGAAAAAACTCCAGCACAAACTGCACCAGAGGTTATTTCTTTGCCCTAATTGCATGTGTAGATGCACCCAGGGTGCAGCTGAATCACCCAGCTAAGGAGGCTGGGTATACCAAGATGAGAGGGGAATGCAAGAGGCCCACATGGGCAAGGGACAGAGCCTGAGGCTGCATCTAGACCCTTCACCTGGCTAAGCACCACGTCTTTGGATTTAAGGTATAGGGTAAGAACGGGTCTCGGTTCTGGTATTGTCTTGTTTGTTTACTCTTATATCTCTGTCCATCTCTACACGTGGTGGCTGGTCTCTTATGCTCGTTCTGCTTTTATAAGAAATAATTTTGTTGTTCATCTCCTTACTGGTTGCCTGTGGAAGGAGGGACTTTCTGGATTCCAGACTAACCCTCTCCCCAGAGAAGAGGAGAGAGTTCTTCCATAATCCAAAAGCGAGGGGCCACTTGGGGCCAGCAAAGATCCCTCACTGCAGCTGCAGAGTCCAGGTACAACGGGAGAGGATCTGAGGTGCTGAGATAGAGACCTATTTCAGGGCAACCTCAGTCTGTTCGCTGGCATGAGTGACAGCATAGCAGAGAGAAGCTCTGAGCTCCAGGGGCCCCACGGGTGGTTTTGTGATGATCGGCACAGAGAATCCTGTTCAAAATTCTTTTCCATATCATTTTCTCATCCAGATTCACAATGTCCAGTACAAAGGATGTCTCCCCTATTTACTTATATGCATATGAAGAAATCGAACTTGTAAATCAGGTTTACCTGGGTATACTGTTCCTCTGCTCTACAACGATGTCCATCACATCAGAACGGTGGTCATTTAGTTGCTTATTGCAAGACATACTGTGTGTGTTGATTATGTAAATAATGGAGTCTTGAGAACCAATCCATACTTGGCTCTGTTCTACCATTACCATACAAGTCTATTAAAAAAAAAAAATGCAAATTTTTTACAAAGTGCAATTCAAAAGGCAATCACTCTTCAGAGTAGACTGCAGAAATATAATGCAACAGGAATTGTTTCCTGGTGGTTAACACCAGCAATATGAAACCACACCCCACCTGGTTCCCAGCTTCACTCTAGCCAAGACCTATGATTACTAAGTTTCCATGGCCTGTGGGAAATGAGGAGTGATCTCAGACTGAATTTCGAGAGATGATCAGGACACTGGTCACAGCATCCCTTGGTCTTCTTCCCCCTTGACAGAAGGATGGAACAATATCTCCCTGCTGCAAACATTACTTACCTTCACTACATACTTCATGTTGCTTTTCATTTTTGTAAACTTGTCCACCTGCTCACCCAGGGGCCTTCTTCTGCGTCTAGGCATCTGCCACTGGCCTCCTTTTTCCTCTATCCATTTCCCCACCTCTGTCATCATTACTCTTCTACAGTTCTCACCAGCTTCAGCTGCTCCTCACCCATTCTCCTCCCACATGCAAAAAACTCAGATCCCACATACACACCCTCCCTCCAAGTCGTGCCACTCGCCTCTGGTGACGTACATCCCAAACCAGCCCTCACACCAGCCCCTACCAGTCTTGTGTCACAATTCCAAGCTTCATGCCTTACCTGCCCCTTATACCTCCCCCTCCCTTGCTGACACTGGGCTGCCCAACCATTTCTACAAAAGACCACAGCTATCTATAACCTCTTCGTATCTCACTCCCTCCTATGCCCAGCCTCCCGTCTTTGCTGATTCTCTACCCACCTCTTTCTCTGCTTTTGAACACCACTGCATTCAGTTCTCCTCATCTCCCTCTCCACACTGTTGCCATCTACTGTCCTCCATTGATTTCCCAATCCCTCCCAGTCCCTTCACAGCAGCCTTCCTTTTACTTTTGCTCCTGACTTACTCTTCCTCCTAACAGTTGCCAAGTTCTTCCAAATATCTACCATAAATCTCCCTTGTCTCAATGTAGGTCCATTACTATTTCCTCTGCCCCTGTGGACATGGGATAATTGAGGATCACCCTCATTATAAACAGTGCTTCTTGTATTTGAAAGCTGTTATCAAACCCCCTTTTAGTGTCTTATTTTATTGTCTTCTATTATCTTAGTCTGTAGACCAATTAATCCCAATTCTTCCATCCTTTCCTGTTATATCATGCTTTTTTCACTTCTACGTGCATAACTCATCTGATCCTTTAGTCACATACTAGTTCACCTTCCTCTCTTTATTCACCCTGCAGCCCTGCTTTAACCTCTTCCAGTCACTGGATTTGGTCTTCACTGAGCAACATTCACTCACTAATCTTTCTGAGTTTCCTCCTTTCCAACCATGGCCTCTTTTATCCTCACCTACCCATGTCTACTTCAACCCATGTAGATCTTTCCATAACATCCAGTTCATGAGCATGGATAATTTCTTGACTGATTCCAATCCCTCCTTCCCCTGCTCAGCTTAGTATGTTTTTTTTAAATAAGAGTAAAATGCAAAAAAAGTCACTTTCCCCATCAGAAGACCTCTTACCAGCACCCCAGTGATGGGTCAGCCCCAACATCCATCCCCACTGCTCGAAGACCATCACTGACAAATCTCAAATCTAGGATGACCTCTCCCACGACAAATTAATTCTTTCCTCCTTCAGTTCTGCCATCCTCCTAAGGAATTCTACTTTGCTAACTTAATTAAATTACATCCTCGACTACAGGCCAGTCTCCACCTTTTGCCTTCACTTCTTTCTCCACACAAAATTCCACTGATTTCTTCCAAAAGAAAATTGACAGAAATACAACAGACCTTCGCCCTCAACCCTTGGCTTGCTTTCCCTTCCCCTTCTCTCACTTCAAGCTTGTCTTCACTTTAAAGGCCTCTCTGACACTACTCCCAACCTACCTATTATCTTTCATTCGCTATTGAGATGTTAGCTCCCTACTCCCATTGGAAGAGGCCATGGACGACTCCTATCCCCATGAAACAAGCAGTTCTGTGTTTTTTAACATGCTGTGCTCATCCTTAGAGGACCTTCTCATGAATATCTGCAAACCTGCGGTTAGACTGCTCACAAACCAAGAATACCATATTTCATGCTGACTAATATTGTCCATTTCCTTACATTCCCCCATCTATCAGTCTGCCTGGCATCTTTGATCTTAAAATAGTTCTCTCTTTTGGCAGGGAACACATTTAGCAAAATGTGGTCCCTGCAGGGACCATGTTTTCTAGCAAAATAGCATCCTGGTCCACGGCTACTGCTCCTGAAAACTACACTAATACGAAAGGGTAAGTAGCAATATTTGTCTTGCTTACCAGTTTAGAACTGCCCACTTTAAAACAGTGCTGCTGGATAGACCAGGTAGATGCATCAAACACAACTACCTTCCCCTCATTTAAAGCACACCATAATTTTGGAAAGGTATCTCCAGGTTTTTCTGCTGGGTCAAGATGTCCTAGTATTGGAGAGAGAGGGAAGAAGAACAAAACAATACTATCAGCTATATTTGCACAAATGACCAGAAAATGTATTTTCCTGCTAAAGCATGGCATCTGTACCCCAGAACCTATACTAGCAGCTAATGAGCAGAATAATCATGTCACCATTGTGCTCTCCCACATCTATTTGGCGAGTCCACTTGATGTCTCATTTTACACCTGTCAGCTCTTCAGAGCAAGGACAATCTTTTCATTGTATGTATGTGAAATGCTTAGCTCCTTGGAGATCTAATCCCAGTTTGAGTCATTAAGTGCTGCTACCACACACGCAATAAATACCTTGGCTCCCATTTGGTTTCTGGGCGTTGGATATGACCTACAAATCTCTGAAGGACTTGAGATCAATCTCTTTGTAAACGCGTC